ATGTAGAGGCATGTGCAAGGCTTTAAATGTGTAGTGAATTTTTAAGGGATTTCCAATGTGTGATGTACATGTATATTGATAAACTTAAAATTCACTCTCATAATTCACTCTTATTCACTCTTATAATTTTATATCTTGCTAACATTAAAGAAAATAACTTATCATTTACAATGTATGAATGTCCTGCATGTTTAAATCGAGTCTAAACAAGTATGATTTTTTAGGTAGTTACGCAGATGTCATTGTCTTTATATTTCTTCATAATAACATCTGATGAATGTTCTGTATTTATTCTTATTTTTGGATCAAATTTAGTTTTCTTTGGAAAGGTACAATTTTTTTCAGTATAGCTGCCATCCTTTTGAATTGATATTCTGTAATTAATCAGTTTTTTAGAATATTGTCTTGTTATTAAAACTTATCAACACAGGTCTATAAAAATATAGTTTGGAAGTATAATAATGCTGCCATTGTAATTTCTTTCCTGTGAACTTTAAAAGTCGAAACCCAAAATCTTGTTTTCAACAACAGTCTACCCAAAAATGTATGGTTTGTCAGTTTTATAGCCAGCTCCCATTATATTCCATCACCACGGTATCCTGTGGATTCTTCATTCTTCTTCTTCTTCGTGCACGGGCTTTGTCCGGCAAACAAGGGTCACCAATTCCACACAATGGTAGGGCAACAATAGGCTGAGAAAACTTGCCAATGACAACAGTCATATGCAGTGTGGTGATTATAAAGGACTCCTTGTGTTCGCCATTGTATCGGCGTTCACTCAGGGATGAGAAGGAATGTTTGGTGAAATAATGCCCACTGTAAAAGCATATCCTGGGAAAGAATTTGGAGTGTGATGACAAGCATTAGTCATATTATACAAAATCGACAAACACCCTGGAGTTGAACTTTTAGAACTATTATTTGGAAGTGAACAAGAAATCTATTTTCAGGAGAAAAGGAAAGAAAGCAATTTGGGGGCAGCTCGTTTTGTGTTTGCCGGAGTTTTTTAAAGTTCAAGTATGATCCAAAAATTTGAACAATACTCTAACCGAACATTTTACACACTTGAAAATGTGCTGAATCTTAGGAAGCTCTGGTGAACCAGTTATTTGTTTGAAATGAATAACAGCCTCCCTCACTTTTATAAGAGAACTGCTGGTATAAATAAAACTGCAAATGAACTTAATACTTTCAAGAGCAATTTAAGAAAAAAACAAAATAACTGCCAAGATGTACAATGTACATGACATGTAGTGTATACACAATCTTTGCTCCCTGCCCTCAATCTAAAAAGACCTTTGATATTTTTAAGTGCAATGTTTATATTCGGGTGGACAATAGGATTGTTTGGAGAAGTTCTGAAAAGCCATACAATGGTAGTCCTACCTAAACACCATTAGCTCAGATGGGCTACAATTTAAATGAGCTGTGACTCATGATACTTTGGAAATGTATCATGTAATCACCAAAGCAATTAAGGTCTACAAGGAGAATGTGTGCTTTGTGCTTAAAGATAGAGAAAAGGCCATTGTTGGGAAGTGCAAGTTTGACCATGAGCATCACTTGTGTGGCAAAGTAAAGCACTTTACAATGTACACTGTACATTTCAATGAAGGTACCAGCACTACATGTACTGTACATGTATTAGATTATCTTTAATAGGTTTTTTCCCCCTTTCTTTATTTTGACTCTCTTGTCTTTGGAACTGTCAAATTTCATCTCCATTACATACATGTAATACTTAAAATTACTTTAAAACAAAAATCACACAAAACAACCATAATCATGTCCATGTCCTGTCAGTGTCTACTGCTATCATCAATAATAAAAACATAGAAATTAAAACTAATCATAATTTGTTATAAATGTAATGCTTCCTGGGAGAAATTTCAATTATATAAACATATTTTTGGCTTACATCCAATTAGTCCTGCTGGTTCCAACCTTTTTTCTGACTTGTTTTTCAATTACAGATTGATCAACCAATCTTATTTTACTGGGTGTAGGCCATACATATGTTTAAATAATTAATCATAATTTGTTTTCAATTGTTGTTGTTGTTGGTATCATGCAATGTGTACTACATCATAGTAGAAATGCACATTGTACACCTACAATGTAAATACATAATTAGTGCAGACTGTGAATTACATGTAAATTTACAGTCACAGCCTACAAATGCAAAGTGAAAATCACTACAAAACAAAGTTGACAAAAGTTGTTACGTGTCTTAAAAGCAAACCTCTTCTTAATCACCTATGCTTAATATGACTTAAGATGTGGTTCGAAATTACTGATGGCGGTTTCAAACACTTCCCACTTTTGAAGTGGTCCTCTTTTCTACCATGATTCTGAGAACTTTGATCTCAATATTTACTCTTGCAGTGCATCATTGTTTACACTGCATTCCCCACAGCTCAGTTAATACACAAACCTGCTTCATTGGACTTCTGATAATGAAGGAATTTTATGATGGGCCTCCACCCTTTTCTCTTACTTACATACTTCCCTGAAAAAATTCAAAAGATTACACCAGCATGTCGACACAAGTCCTTCGGTCAATCATAGCGTTAAAAATGCCTACATGTACATTTGTATCTACTACTGTACATGTACAGAATAATAATAATAATAATAACAACATTTATAATGCGCACATATCCACCCCAAGAGATGCTCAAGACACCTAACAAGATAAATACATCAAACTTAAGAAAGTACATGAGAAGTTACAGAGAACGAAAATAATTTAACATAATTAAATATAATTAAATGTATACTTTGTGAAGAATTGAGATTGACTATTTGATTTCAAGGAGCCCTCTGATATAAAGGTAAATGGGTTTTCATCCATCTACATGTACTGTACCTACTCTTAGAACTTTTGCAATATTTACAATAAATCTGTTCGTCTTTTTAAAGCCTTGAGCCCTTGACTGTCCACTGTATACCGGTAACCATCTTTAAAAATACCGCACCCTTTCCTTACAAAGAGATATTTGGTACACAAACTGAAATTATAAAGCTAAAATTCTATTTACATGAAGCCATTTTGGCAACTCTTAGCACATTTGGTTTGGAAATCATTTTGTTGCAACAGACAAACATGTATCAGACTATAAAACATGCTAACATGTACACTGTACATCACTATCAAAGCATGATATTAAACAAATAAACACTCACAAAAAAATAATTCCCTGACTTTCTCTGATCAAGGTTCAAAATTCCAGGATCGGTAGACACTCAAAGAGCCACCATAGGCACCCAGTGAAAACGCTGTTTGCACAAGTACCGTACTATACATGTACATGTACTGTACATGTACATGTGGCATAATATCATGGGAGACTGCCTACTTTTTTTTGGGGGGGGAGCAATGATATTCTTTAATTTTTCTCAAATTCCCTTGCTAGAAAATAGAGTAATCAGGTTTTTACATGTTTTTCCTATTCAAAAATACATGAAGCTAGGTTTCATCGGTTACATGTGTACATTGTACATGTACATACCTGGACATGTACATGTATCTACAATGTATTTAGTACAGGGTATGTACAGAAGTACAAATTTTGAATACTTCAATATTCAAGGTGATATAATGACAGTGTTGTTGATTCCAATTTACACTGTAGGTTTATGTAAATCTTGGGAGAGGAAACGAAAATTCAAAGCATTTCCCTTTTTTTCAAGAAAAAAAATACACTGTACATTGGGTTCGCTCGAAATTGCTGAATATGCAAGAGGTTGAGAAGGGCTGTCTCGTCTCTTTGATTCATGCATATTCAGCAATTTTGAGTGAACGGCGCTCTATAATAAGAATATTCATATTTGCTGCGCTGATACCGCGCATGTGTACCGGTACTATTTCTTCGCCATGTTGAATCAACGATACAATATTGATGAATGGTCAGGTTATGGTTAGGACGAAGAATCACCCTTTTTCCCATCAAAGACTTCTTCAAACTATAATTTCAAGTGTTTAAAAAGATGCTCAGAGCTTGTTCAGAGGAGTCGAAAAACATTGTAAGTCAAAATTGTAACTACTACTCTGGCTCTGGCACTAGTTCAGAATCATATCCAGACTTTTACCTGTTACTCTGGCATGGAGATACCCTACTAAAACATACCCAAAATGAAGTAAATATTCAATGAAATGTTCAAATAATCATTTAAAATATGTTATGATTCTTATCTGTTTCGTGTCAATTTCCTTATTTTTTTTGGAGGATTTTTCAGATAAATTTCTCACAGGTTTCACGGCAAACCGCTGCACAATGCCAAACAATTACAAGTGCATACCGATGTTGCAGAGCTACCAAGTATCACGCATAAGGCATGACATCACACATTTTTCGGGTCTGAAAATGCTCTTACGCACGTCGCGCGCGCTAGATTTTGAAAAAATGCTATACCTTATACGTGTGTTATACCTTCGCAAGCGTGCTTGCGCGCCGAATCATGAAAATGTCAAGCATTGCCGATCTTTGAACTTGGCATCTCTGATGTTGGGTTGCGAGCGGGCGGGCGACTTTCAAATCATGACCATTATTTGCACATTTTACGAATATTTACTTGATTTTGAGTAGATCTATGTTTTACACCAGAGTTACGGGTCAAAGTCTGGATATGATGCTGAACTAGTGCCCTACCTCTTTACATTGCCAAAAAAATGTGACCGAACTCGCTGTTTGAATCGTTTTCAAAAACAGGCCCTGGACTGGAGCTTCGCCATTGGCGTCAGAGCTCCCTGCTGAAGTTAGGCCTGGATTCTACTTCGTAATATTCACCTCAGTGAAAGTATTAATCACATGATTCCTTATATTCCCCAGGAACTGATTAAGGTTGTCGCCTGGGAAGCTAATGCACGGCGATTTAACGTTTATCTGTTTCTGGCCTGGCTGCCAAAATGCAAGCCAAGACAAGAGCGTGTGTACACGCCATGCCACCCCCTGCACTGTGCAGGCGAACACCGCCCGATTTCTCCTATCGATACTCACCTTGCTCTTAATTTCTTTCAGTCCTTTTGCCCATCTATTGCTTCCATTGAGCATTGTCGTGGATCCATTTTTCGCCATGATGCCCACCGAGTCCCGCATTTGAAGCGGGAAATCATCAATTCCGCAAATTGTAATCCTATTGCTTCCTATTTCCTTCCAAATAGGTAATCAAATTCAAGACTGACAGACCGGTGGCTGTAATAATACACACAATATTTACAGCGATGGCCTTATATGTGACGTCAGATATGGACCCAACGTCCAATTACTTCCGCCAACCAGTCAAGTTGGGATCGACCCCTAATTTTTACCACTATTTTTACTAGTGATTGTAACGCTAAAAAATTTATCAACGTGCTCCTACATAGATGGAATAAATATGAGTGTCTGTCATTTCAACAGTTTCGTTCATTTTAATCGTGAATGCTGTGGGCGGGACTATGTTGAGTCATAATTGACACGCCTTGCAAAACTGCCATAACTGGGCGTACAAAATCGAATTTACAGGTTGCCGTTTTTATGCCGTTGAAAGATCAAGATGGCGCCCTAATTGATTGCTCCCATTTCCACCACACCGCTATTGAAACGTTTGGCCTAAGGCTGTTTGCCTACCGGTATTTCCATCATCATCACCATCATCATCATCATCATCATCATCATCATCATCATCATCATCATCATCATCATCATCATCATCATCATTAATATTATTTCAATTATTATATCATCAATATCGCAGCTTGAACAATACTAGTTTCATCTCGTTAGCATACAGAAGCAACTCAGTCAAGCTACAACCCATAGCTAAGCTTAGGTCTCAAATCCTTCTTGTAAGAGTTTTGCGGAACCAAGTAGAGCTGCTTTCTGCAGAAGTTCTTCTTTTTTTTGGTAACCCCAATCTTCTTCAGAAGTTTAGGAAGATTGCTTGTGATTATGCCTAATGCACCAACCACCACAGCGCGCGACTACACATGTCTTGATATTCCACAGCCTTCCCAGTTCTTTTCGCAGGTCACCTTGAAACTTTTCAATCTTTTCCTTCTTTGTCTCTCCGATCCTGGCATCACAGCTACATAAATGTTGATAAAATGTCTCTCTTTCTGTCCATTAATGTTATTTTTATTTTTTATTTCTTTCATTAATATTGTTATTAATATCATTATTATTATTCTACTGCGACTTCTACTGTATTATTATTATTATCATTACCATATTGCTTTATCAATATTATTCTCATCATCATCATCATCATCATCATCATCATTACCACCACAATCATAACCATCACTACAACATTGTTATGATAGAAAATGATAACAAAAATCGTACGCGTAGGCAATATAAACTTTGAAATGTCAAATTCCGATCATCTAATATCATGATAATCAAACAGACGATTAGCTTGTAAAGTCATGAGACTCCTGCCTGACCTAGCTAAAATGTTTATGACTATATTATGCAACATGAGCTAAATCATAGATTTGTTTTGGATCTCAGGCAAAGTTATATGTACCCACTCCCTTTAAGAATTGATATTGTGACCTAATTTCAAAAGGGAATTGTTTTTGATAACTTTTATAGACATTTTCAATTTATTGGCAAAAGTAGGAATCGTGTTCCATTCTTTGGGTGGTGCACAACACTGACAAATGTGAGAACTATAATAATTGGTCTCCGGAAAGATAAGCAGAATATGTTTATTGCAAATGGGAGATTAATGTGGCAGCTAGGATGGAAAAATCTTTCCGAACAAACCAATTCATAACTGTTAAATATAATAATTTGATGGTAACGACAATTTTTTGAAGTTTTAGTTGTTAATCTTAATTTTACATCTTGTTGAATTGAATTTATTGAATTGATTTTTTTTTTGATGCAACAAACACTAAAAATCAAATCACATTTCAGCGATACAACATATACAACACATAACATTTTTTTCTGAACGTGTAAACAATATAATATTAATAGAAATGTTGATAGAAATGTATAACTGAGAAATCTGCAGAAAAAAATATGATTAAAAACATGGTTGATGGTGATGATGATGAAAATGAAAAGAAAACATGTTTATGTATTATGTCTGACATGGAACACTTATACACCTGTATGGGAGTCACAAAATATAGTCGCAACTGAATGACTTGCACTAACAACAATTTTCCCCCTTAAATCCAAACTTGTGGGAATTTCAATAAATTTGTTTTTTTGTAAGTGTTAAAATCATAAAATCACGAGGAATTGTATTTTTCACACGACAAACAATAAATATGGAAGGATTTTCTTTTCATTTGTTCATTTATTTGTTTTATTTTTTTCCATAACAATCTATAGCAATAACAATTCATATATACATTTAAGTTCTTTATTCACACTAATGTTTTATGCATGATATTTAGCTACGAAATAAAAGCAGGGTCGTCACGAGACAGAATACATTTTGTATGTGGGGGGGGGGGGGGGGGGGGGAGGTAACGCATTTACTATACTAGATTAATGTCAGGAAACTTTGCCCCAGTAATCTCTTGGCCGTGTTGACAGCGTCACAAAAATGTGAGATAAAAACAGGAAGAGGGGGAGAGAGAGAGAGAGAGAGAGAGAGAGAGAGGGGGGGGGGGGGGGGGGGGGGGGGGGGGGGGGGGGGGGGGGGGGGGGAGGGGCGGAAGAGGAAGAGAGAGGGGATGATGATGACGACGATAGTGGTGGTGGAGGAGGTGGTGGTGGTGGTGGTTGTGGTGGTGATGGGGAAGGGGCAATTAATGGAAGAGAAAAACAGAAAATTCTATCGTTTTGTTTAACAGATAATATGATACAAATTTCATGACATTTTGTTGAAAACACACACACACACACACACAAAATAATCTCTATTGTGAGACGCAATAACTGCCGTTGACATTGTTGATAACATATGCATATAGGACTAGCCTAAAATCACAATAGAGGTGTTGATCCCGGGGTGTACGGGGGCAGTTGCCTCAAGCCCTCAAATCAATCAAGTACCAACACTGTTTATCCCAGATTATGTTTCTGATCAATGATATTGAGCCACCCCCCCCCCCCCCCCCCTTCTCATCCGAAAATGGTTTGACGTTCAGCTATGTCGTGAATACATCATTTTAGATGTATAATTATTAATAAAAGTAAATCTTTAAGAAATATATAAATTCTAACATTGTTATATAGAATAAAGCGTTACAATTACTATACTACCAGGCATCGATCATGGCCTATTATTATACGGGTAGAATTTTCACTTGTCATATGAATACCAAAATATCAAGTAATGGCGGGCGACAGGAGTGAGCTATCAGAGGCGTTCCCCTTGAAGCCTTAACGATCATCGGCATGTGACAAAAAAATAAGACTGCTGTGACTGAAATCTATATGATTCGGTCAGTATCAATCGTAAACTGCGTTGCGAGCAAAATAGCCGGTGTACATTTCGGACAGCTTCTCCTTTGATATTCGACAAGCCTGGACAGCGGGTACGGTTCCCATGCGATCAACCCATGCCTTAAACTCCGGTACGAAGTCGTCGATGATGACCGCACCGAGAACGTGCATGCGTTCGATCCACGGCCAGACCATGAGATCGACCATGCCCCACTGGTCACCTGCAAACCACAATAAAAAATAGAATCGATTGTGTATACAATCCATATATTTGTTAAACCTATCTAATTTTGTTCAGTAAAGTATTCTTGATGTCGTGATAAGGGCATACCAAATAAATTATAATGCTTATGATATACATATTGATATGGAAAATTAATGTTTATTTACAGATATTAGCTTTTGACTATGTAATTTTTGCGGAAAATAGCATGCTGGCATGGCATTTGTAAAATCGTATATGATGCATATAGCCTTCTTAACGTCAAATGCATTCAAACTGGTCAATGCAAGCATTAACTTAAAATCACGAGTGAAATTATTGTATACAATAGAAAACTCTATTTGCAAGGCATTGTGGTCCATACACGACTACCACTAATATTATTATCATAGAATGACTTAGGTAACATACAAGCTTCTAATGGAGAGCTTTTAAAAATATTTTATCATTCAAAATCCTTTTTTTTTTTAAAGACTATACGACTGAGCTGAATTTAGATACAGACATAATTCGTATTTTAATGGATCAAGGATAAAATGGGTTATTACCACCGAAGAAGTTTGTCTTTTTCGCTGTAAAGAATGCCTGGTACTCCTTCATAGATTTCCTAAGAGTTTCTTTGGCGTCAGCGTCATCTGGATTATAGCCAACCTTGTAGAAGAGTGAGACGATCTAAGGTTGAACCAAAAATAAGATACAAGGATAAAAAACGGAGAGACGTAAATAACTGTTTATGAAAACGCTACAGATAAAGGCGTCTAATTACGAAAAAATTTTCATTTATTTATTTATTTATTTATTTTTTTATTTTTTTTTTATTTATTTATTTATTTATTATTATTATTATTATTTTTTTTTTTTTTTTTTTTTTTTTTTTTTGGGGGGGGGGGGTTAATTCCAGTCTGGCTCTGAAACGTCTGTAATCCCCATTACTGCACATTTTACTAGATAACAGTATGTATGATTACATTTTACAATGTTCTAATCAAATTTGACAGACGAATAAGAAAAGGGTTTTTACCGAGTCAAACTTTCCAACTGCCAATCTATTCTTGGCCTTCTGAAATGGGTCCTTTGCTTTTAGGGGCTTGTCCGGGAATAGGTCTTCCAGGAGATCACAGATTACGAGGGACTCTGTGACAATATTTCCTTGGAACTCAAGAACAGGAACCGTTCCGGCGGGGTTCCGTTCTAGTAGAAATTCTGGTTTATGGTTCAGGTTGCAGTTGACAAGCTCGTAACTGAAAGAAATAATACACATTTTAACAACATTTTCTCGCTCGGTCGCTACGGTCCCTTGCTTATAGCAATAGCAATTGCTAAACATTGTCACAAATCTGTCTATTGATCAACTGAGCAAATCGTCATGATCAATTAACAAATTACGGGTAACGTTCTTCAAATGAAATCAGAGAATTTCCAAAAATACAATTCCAAAGTATAAAATGAAGTTTAAAAAAAAGGTAATATCGAGGGATGTCGGTAAAATGCAAAGTTTTTTATTTATAAATATACGGTAAACCTTATCTCTTATTCGGAGGTGTATCTCAATATAGATGGTTATCCCGCCCCCTCCTTCACCCCCGTCACCCAAACAAAAATCCGTCACCCAAACAAAAATCCCTGTCCAAATTTCGTTCACTTGTAAGTTGTAACCAAAACTCTGACTGTTACTCAGACATTTAACTGTTGAATAGTACAGTCACAACAAGAACAGTGTAGAACAAGGAGTCCAGTTAATATTGGAGAGTTCTGGGTCAAATATGAAATCCTTACGAATTTAGAAGGTCTTAATTTACCCCCATAGTATTCCACGCACAATTCAAAATCATTAATTTTGAAGTATAAAGCTTACTCAATTCCTTTGACAGCTAGGACCAGGAGTGCTCGTTGGGCGAAGGGGCAGAATCCCATGCTGTATAAACGAAGAACATCGGGCTTCACCGTGGGGTTAGCTTCCCCTGTATAATTGATGGAAAGGAAAACCCATGGGAAAGTGATTTTCATGGATATTATGACAATATTAAAGAAATCATAAAGTGGAATGGATACGTGTTTGTGATTTCCACTTTGTCGTTTCGGCCGCCCAGAATATTCTTTCGACTACTTTTTTCATAGGGGCGTAGCGAGGGTCCATGCAGGCATGAGGGAGGGGGCATTGGGGCGGGGGCGGGTTGACCTAGGTGAATTAGCAAGAGAATCGAATAGTGAGAGTGTGAGGGAGGGGCTCAATTCGTCTCCGTAACTAATTACAATAAATTGATCGAAAGTATACAACACATCATGATCATTAACTTGGCATCCATCTGTTGTTTGATAAAACTTTAACAATTCCTTATTTGCCCATTGCCTTTTGCGGACATGGTCACATTTTAGTTGGAATACTAACGGTGTCATCTGATTAGACGCCTTTTGATAAAACAATATATGCATCATAAACGTCATTATCAAGATAAAATAAAAACGTTAGACCTACCTTGCTTGAGGTGTCTTCGTGACATGTTGCGAATGCAGAATAATTTAATTAAAGGAAACAATAAATGCCTTTGCGATACAAAACTGAGAGATGGGACATGCGACGAAATGGTGTTATGTAATTTATGAGTGCCGCCCTGCTATATGATATGCCACTGTCGTAGCTTTACGTGCATGATTCAGATTCAAAACCCGCCGGTGTACAATATGACAGTGACAAAATAATAGTTCTCGCTGTCGTGTTTACCCACGTAATCTGTTCTTTTGTGCTGAGTCACTGTATGTGCTTTGAGAGGATGTATTCGCGTACAGTATTTCGGACACAAGAGGATCGAGGGAATGGCCGAAGTTGCTCTTTGAGCATTGTTCAGCGCAAACTGTTGAATGCATGAAGAATAGTAATACCAATTCTAAAATGATAATCAGTAGCTTTTTTTAATTTTATTAAGGCTGGTATGACAGTGGTCTAATCTATTTAGGAGACCTTTTATATGAGAGATGGCTTTCGGTCAATAGAATTCAAAAACTATTCTAGAACCGAGCCTGCATGTATATCCTATTCAAATCCATCGCTTTATCCTATTAAAAAAACAAACCAACAACCCACCACTGGGTAGCTACCCCATACAAGGGTAAGGAGCACTATTTTGTTTTGTGTGTGTGCCAAAAAACACAAACAAACAAGCATAAAGACATTTACGTACCCCAGAGTAACAATATGTCCACAAACGATTTTCTGTTTAGCGCCATCTATTGTTCAAGAACCTCTACTGCGATCCGCACAACGGATCTGATTCTGCATACTATTCAGATATCCCAATCAGTGATCCCAAAAGATAAAGCAGTTTCTTCGGGAAAACCCTGGCCCTGTCCATTACCTGTACAAATGTATATAAAGAAATAACATGTTTGAAAAAGAGAAGTTGGAGGAAAGGTGTGGAATGTGGAATTTCGGTATTACATAACTAGTGATAGCTATTCAATTTGGATGACTTTCAAAAGCGATTTTATGTTTGATGTCAATATTGGCAATACAGAAACCAAGAAAAGTTAATAAGTAATAATTATCAAGATGAATATTCATGCCTTGATCTTTCCCTTCCACTTTCTTTTTGTCCTATTTCATTTTATCAGTCTGTTGATATATATATATATTGTAAGCAAATTCTATATGCAATGTTGTTAAAATGCTATATTTAAAAGCTCTTATTACCAATCATGTGAAAGAATATGTTTTGGCTAATACGTGATGATACAAATTTTGTCGGGAAACCGCCAACTAATTGATATATTTGTATATCCGTACTGGATAGATATCCCGTAGTCCCATCTTTCTGTGTACAGTGCTTGTAACTTTACCAAGACTGGGCCAATTTTGTTATCATTTTGATGATTCCAGATTCCAGAACCTTGCAGTACACACCGTCGTATATGCTAGATGATCAACCTTTCTGATCGATTCCACAACGTTTCTTTCACAATGCAATCGCATGATCAGAATCAGAACATTTAAAGCAAAACATGATAATCATATTATTTACATGATTCTAATTTAAGAAAAAAATGGTGGTTGGGGTAAGTTTTTATACAGATCACCCAATAGCCTATCAACAACTCTTTAAAGGCATTGTTCAGCAATGTTCAAATCTGAGATGCATGGCCCTACATGTTTTTGATATGGTGTAATATTGAAGCCCTGACAAAAATTACGCTTCAAAAATGATCATGAAGTGTCTCAAAAAAGTAAAAAATCTTTGAGTGACCGGTTTTACCATACTCGTTTTCCCTAGTAGTCTGTAGTGTTATAAAAACCGTTGGGAAAACTGATTTTGAAATTTCGAATTTCAATCATAAATATCTTGATAATCAGACAGGCGATCGGCTTATAAATGTCATGAGATTCCTAACTGACATCAATAATTAATTAATCATAATTATAATTATGATTGCAGCATAAGCTAAATCTAGGATTTTGATTAGAATCTGAGAAAAGATACCCGATCCCTTTAATCATTGGTGATGAAGGGCCTGAAGCGCTACTAAGGAAAAAGATTTCGGTTTTTCTTTCTTCCCTTCCGCCTTTCCTCTCCGTTCGCTTTCGAGTCCTCCATTTTGGCGTTTTAGGGGATGACTGCCCCAATCGCCCCCATGGATATGCTCCTGCCTTTTGCTAAGAGTTGTAGAGAGTAAAACAAAACAATTCAGGAATCTTCGTCCAGAAGTTCAACGGGGTATTGGAGCTAGTATCTCATTGGTATCTCCTTGTTTATTATTACTAGCCTAGATCGTAATGCTCAGAACTTTGATAAAGTCAAGTCAGTCTGTCAGTCAGTCAGTCATATCAAATAATACAAAGCATAGCATGAACGGAGATGAGCAACACAAACAAGCATTATCACCATTATCACTAATGATTCCACGGTTGTCGAGGGGAGCTGTGTAGTATATATACAGCCCCGGTATCGAGGCGAGATCCTGGGGATTCGCTAGCCTGATGGACAGGCATGATTGACACGCCAAAACAATAGAGGCGTTCAGGCTAGCTGCGGATCATTAATGGAGCCGAAAAGAGCCGCGAACTTTCATGAATTGGAATAGATCAGCTTGAATGAAGATTTAAATGGCTGCGCACAATTATGCAGGCTAGACAGTAGACATTATCCACACTTTGGTTTCTCAAATATGTCACAAGAGCCCCCCCCCCCCCCGTAATTTTAACAGGTTTTAGTCATTATATTTTAATACATAATTAAAGTAGCTAATGCGATTACACAGTAAATGTGTCCTTTTTATAATATGATCAGAAAGTATACCCTATTTCTCCCCCCGGCACAAATATGGTTACGGAGTTGTGGGTGCAAAATGACCTTGAAGTAGTCAGATAGTCTGTCTTTAGTTCTCCATTTTTAGACTAGGTCTGGAGGTCTAGGCTTAGACCTAGACATTAATTCTCTGACTGTATTCTGTCCAATCACGTCATTCTTTCGACTTAAAATACACCCACAAGTGATCATGCTCTATTCATACTCATAGACCTCTCTAGTCATATTCTCATTTATCAGACTGGTACTGCACTGGTCCCTTGTTGTTCACGATCACCTTTGACTGGCCAAGAACCCAAGTTCACCTTATTATAGTTTCAACGCTCCTCTCAGCTCCGTTCCGCCCTTTAATATCTCGCAATCTGACACTATTCACACGTACATCGTCAATCCACGTACCGTACTGTAGAATTGCAATTGCAAGTGTAGAAATCAATTGTCGAATACCAATATAATGTCTCGAAAACTTTAATTTTGAAGCCTTTACTATAACCACATTTTACGTTACTCACGTCGGGTCGATCACAATGTTATTATACAATGATTGCATCCATTCCAATTGTTGTCCAAAACCAAACAAGATCATAAAACGGAAATATGAAGTAGGGAGAAGAGGTTAAAATTCTGTCTTGTTTCCAAGGGTTACTGCCAGTGATTATTCGCGCTTTACCTCCCCTCAAACTTATTGAATTTTAAAAACCGACAAGAGATGGCGCTCTTGCATTAGTTTGGCATCTACATTTCCGGCCCCTTAATTTTCAGAGGCAAGCCGACAGAAAATTACACCTTTTCTTAATTATACTTCCAAAAAACAATAATAACCATATGGCTTTCTCGAATCATTCTGATTAAATCTTATTCCTGTATTATTTTCAAAGTTCCTGCTAATAAAAACTCAAAACCTTTTCAAAGTCAAACTATATACACGTAACTCAATGCAATAAAATATGCATAACTGTGGCTCTAACATGCCACAACACCTACATGACACAAAAAACACCTCAATGCCATCATTTAGAAAATACCAATGACAATTTAACCTTTAACTAGCTTATGAATGTCTATACTCCTGATTATTATCAGTTTGTCAAACAAAACCCAACCAATGTCCCTCTTGTGGCTCTTTTTACTATCTTTGGACAAGAAAGCCCGCTTGTGTCACAAAATGAAAGATTTTTGCATAGGTTAGTAACTTGTAAACTCACTATAAATGATGTTGGCACCTTAAGAAAACACTCTGGAATGCTGCAATGCAGCCCTATCTTAAAAAAGGCAAGTACTGTTGACTCCAATACATAGCACAGATAAACTGAATTTTGTTTTGCACCGATATAATAAAGACATGCACAATGAAATCAGGCCTTAGCTATCAATAGAATCTTGGTAACAATAATATGCTTTGGTCGTAAATCTGTCCAACTCTAAATTCTACTCAAACTACAATAAAAACAATGACAATGAGAGCCACAATATCGCAACAAAGATTTAAAATGGTTAAGAACTAGATTAACCACTACCTCTTATTTTAGGGTGTACACTTTCAAGTTCCACTGAATTCAGAAGTATACTGTGGACTAAGACTATCAAACAACTCTCCTTATCGAAACATGTCATCAGATGACTAGTCTTGATTCAAACTCTTGTCACTGAGTTGAATCCCTTTTTTAACAATGTTCGCAATAATTTTGGACTTTCGTTATTTTCTGTCTCTTTCAGAATTTGTACAAATAAACAACACAATCGAATGTCATGTCCCTTCTAACGAATGCAGTAAAGCATTTCTTTCGTGCAAACTAAGCATGCAAAGTGTCGTTTTATATGTACAGTAGCTATGTAACAACAAAGCAAATGACACGATTTGTTCAAATCATGCTATCAAACACTGCCATTTCTATAAAAGAACTTTCCAAATGTAAATATCCTGACACTAAATCTGAACATAGCAAAATTATTTCACCTCTAATTATATACAACGAACTCATTTGCTATAAAACATTAACGTCTTCAAAATAGTCAAGTGTGTACAGTTCTGCCTTCACTAAGCACTATTAATGCCCGTAATACAATTTTTATCGTCTTGTATAAACTCTTTGAAATTTTGTCTCAGAACCAAAATAGCATCTGCTTTAAAATAACCTGTACACCAAATATTTGCGTCAACACAAATATGCACATTATATACATTCCTTGATTCCTAAAAAATCTTTACATTGTATCCTTCAAAATAATAACCCATTGCCTTTTATAATCATGCACTTCACATAAATCTACACTTTAAAAGCAACACAAAATATGCTTCCAAATATCTCATATGACATTTTAAATACATGCAAGA